AGCAGGAAGGCATTCCGTGCATGCACGGAACCCCCAGCCTCTGGTGTCATAGATGGAGTCGCGCCCTCCCTGTCGGTGCCAGGAGCCGTCCAGGACACATCGTCACTGCTGACACAGGAGCCCCGCACGGGCCAGGGCACCCAGCCCCCGTGATGGATCCCAGTTTGACGGATTTAGAGACAGCAGCGACAGCGTGGAAGGGTGCGGAAGCGCGCTCATTCAGAAGGGCTTATGGGAAGTCACTGCTGTCACTCGTGGTGTGTCCTGAAGGTGGAGCTGGCGTAGACAGCTGTGTGCAAGCTGCACTGCTACGCATGCTCACGCTCACCCCGACGTGTGCGGTCGCAGGCTGTCCCATCCCCGTGGCCATTTACACCAGGGCAGAAGACGGTGTTATTTCTCGCTGCAGAGCAAAGCGCTCCCCAAATCACTTCTGCAGGAAGAACAGCCGGCCGAGCCCCGGCTCCTCCGAGTGACCTCGAATACCAGCCACGTGGTTTGGGAGGATTCTGACTGTCCGGAGAGAGTGGGCTGAAGAGGAAGGGGAGTGCTGGGGTGGAAGGGCAGGAGCCCCACTGGGGCTGGGCTGCAGATGCTGGCCAGAGGGACACCCCACCCTGGATCTGAAGAACTGGCCTGCCCCAGGCCTCAGCCGTTGTGTGTAACATACAAGCCTCATTTCAGTACAGATTCATTTCCATCGGTGTCGTTAATAAAGACTCAATTTACGACACAGTGAACTCCAAATCGAACCCACATGTAAAGGGATGAGCTTTAAAATGGGACCTAACTGAAGGGGACTCTCTAAGCCAGGGAACAGCCCAGGAGGACACAGCTTCCTCCTTCGAGCAAGGACGCTCTGCAGACAGAAGCCCCCGAGACAGCCACCATGGCAGCCCGCTCCCGAGTCCAGCAGCCCAGCCCCTCACTGCCACACGAGCTCCAGGTTTGTCCCTGCCAGGCTTCCACAGCTCTTAGGGAGCATTTCCTGCAGACTGAGCTGCCTCCGGGCCGTGGCGGCATCAGTGGGCAAGAGCTCCAGTATGCTGCACCCGGGCTGGTCTGCAGCCCCCATGCCGAAGCCCAGGTCTGGGTCCCATGGAGAAAAGCGGGGACCTGCCTCTGGAGGTAGGGTGTCTGCAGGGACTGCACCCAAGTACCCCTGATACTGACCAGTGTGCCTGGCCCTCACTTTCAGAGACCCATCACTGTCCCCTGAGGATGGTGAAAACTAAGAGCTTCAAGGTCGATCGCAGCTGGGGCAGCCGGGGCTCCAAGGCCTTCCCTCTGAGGCTCTTCCCAGGCCTAGCCCCGGGAGGAGGAGACATGAGATTGTCCAGGCTCCACACCCACAGAGCACGCCTTCCGAAGCAGCGCGGGGCTTGAGAGCCGAAGGCCGAGAGGAAAGGAGCGTGCAGACCACGGAGCCCAAGGGCAGGCCCGACACGGCGATCGCCCGTCCTGTGCTTTCTGCTCGGATGGTGCCCAGATTTACCTTTTGGGCAGGCTGGTTCTTGGGCCCTCACAGACGGGAAGCTGAGCCCTGCAGCCACCTTCAGAAGACAGCAAGGAGAGGCGTTCTCAGAGGAGACAGGCTGCTGTCACCTGCCCACGGCTGTCCCACGCAGCTGTCCTTCATGGGCAGAGCTGTGCACGGCTGCCGAGGACCAGGAGCCTGAGGCTCCAGGGACAGTACCGACCCTAGTCACTGGCCCTGCACTGAAGACAGCCCCGAACCATGCAAGCCATAGGCTCTCAGTGCCCAGCAAGGCTGGCGCCCTCTGCACAGGGAGCCACAGGAGCTGGCAGGTTTCAGGGCCACACTGCAGAATTCAGAGAGTGCCATGGCATCCATGGTGACCCTGGCCTGGCCCCGTCCCTGGGCAGTTGGGTACCTGGTGTCCTTTCCAGGCTCTCTAAGGGGTCCCTGGCGGCTCGGCTTAGATGGCGGCCCACTCCCATGTCAGACAGGAATCGCTTACGGGCTGGACGTGAGCACGACCCTGGTCACCATGGTCACCATGCCTCTCATCCCAGCAGCGGCCTCCCACCATGGCCGGCGTCCGCTCCACCCGCCCTCCCTCTCTGGGCCCCTTGCAGAAGGCTTTGAATCCGTCCAGTCAGTCACAGGCTCAGAGCCTGCAGTGGCCCCCCGCCGCCCTTCAAAATCCAAAACCCTAAACCCCAGTCCAAAGGCTTCTGGGTCTGGCCCTAGATGTTCCCTTGGCTCCCCTCCGCCCCTCGAGCCCGCACACCAGCCCTGGCCGTTCTCCAGCTCGCCTGCACGCTGCTGCCTCGGGGCCCTTGCGCGACCAACCCTCTGGCTCTCACTTGCTTCCCTCGGCCTCTGCTCAGGGCGGGCCCAGGCCTGCCCTGTGTGCACAGTGGCTCCCCGTCTCCGGGCCGCTGCCCACAGCCTTCTTCACGCCTGTTCACCCCAGCCTTGCCTGTCTATGCCCTGTTAAATGGGCACGTCTCACTGGGGTGTGAACACCGGGGGCACAGACTGGCCCATCCCACTGCTCCTCCAGCACCAACGTGGTTCGGTCCATCTACACATCAGAGGGCCGCGGCGATGCGGTGGGAGTGCTCGCCCCTCCGTTCCAGACCTGAATCTGGGCCATCCCGGGACAGAGCTTTTACTCAGTAACGGACGTGAATGCCCAAGGGCCAGGGGCCACTCTGGGGTGGGGGGGACCCTGGTCGCCTCACAGCACAGCGGAGGGTAGGAGAGCTATCTGTCCCCTCTGATTGTCCCCTCATCCTCCTCCTTAGCCACCAGGACTCAACCGTGGGGCCTGCCCGGGGGACTGAACTCCATCTCTTTCCAAAGCCCCACCTTCAAACACTGTAACTGGACCCAGTTCTCACCCTCCTGATCTCGTTACGATGCCTCAGCATGTGAGCTTGGGGGGATGGATTCAAACTCCAGCAGAAGGACACCCTGGACACCCAAAAGCTCCAGGGATTTCCAGGTGGGTGAACACACGAACAAGCCAGGAGGGTGCACGACTTAGTTGGGACCCGCAGGCCTCGCCCTGCCCGCATCCTGTACGAGGAAACTTGGTCAGCAGCACATGTTCTGAGCGTGGTGAGGCATCCTAGCAAATTATCGAACCTGAGGGGGTCATGGGCACCCCTGGCCTTGCAGGCGGTTGATCACAAGTGCAAATGGCTCCCAAGACCAGCGGCTGCTTCTGAAGTGAGGGCAGTCCTCCGGGGGACTGTGGAGTGTGCCGTGTCCTCCCAGTGGCTACTGTCAGAGCTGAATATAGCCTGCCCTCTCGGGGGGGAACAGGGCTGTCATCCTGACCCCACCAGGGCTATGTGAAGGCTGCAGAGCCCCCCACACACACACACACTGGGCAGCAGGACGCCCTGACCTGCTTTAGCAGACACAGAACTGTGCAGGGAGGGTCAGACCCCGAGCCAGCCACCAGGGCATCTCATGTTAACACCAGACAGGGACTCCCCCTACACACACATCACTTCCCAGGACCACCCATGGCCAGGCTGATGGACTTGGGGCAGAGAGAGGAGTAGCTCCTGACAGACGTCCCCCACACCATCCTGGGGACCTGCCGGTCCTCCCTGTCCCTCTCGCTGAAGCCCACAGACACCATGATCAGAAAACCGAGGCCCACGCAGAACGCCCCGCCCCGTACGCCTTCTGTGAAATGAAACCACAGCATCCGACGTTTCCCATGGCAAGCGCTCGCTCTGAGCGAGGGTGTGGCGGGCGACGGGCAGCCCTACCTGGTGGCGAGCAGCAAGCAGCCCAAGAGGTCCTTTGTGGGACTTCTGTGGGGCAGAGGGCCACCGAGGGAGACCAGGTTCCACTGGAAGAACTTCGGGTTCTCAGAGATTTCCAACCTGAAGGAAAAGAAGTTTAAAGATAAATTAGTAAATAATGCCTTTGAAGCGTCAGTGTTAATAAACCAGAGAAGGAGGGGGCGGCTTTCAAGCCAGCTGTTTCCCACCAGGGTCAGCCACCCTCTGAAGGACACTTCAGCTTTTGTACGCTCCAGAGGACTAAAGGTAGATGACAACATTAGGACCCTGTCACCAAAGAGCCACACAGAAGATCCTGTCGTCTGCCCTCCTGCCGTGGTGCCCCCCTCCCACTGGCGCCAGCCCAGGTCCTCTGGCACCCTAGCCCCACAGGGGGGGTCCCTCCCACTCTTTCTTGGTCCCCTCCTACTCCTGTTGCAGGACTCATCTGGCTCACTCCAGTCGCCACCGCTGCTGCTGTTTCTGTTTGGAACCGGCGGCCGCGACCACAGTCCTGACCAGAGCCCTCGGGGTGCCCTGTTTCACCAGAGGAGATGCTCAAAGTTGCTGCAATGGCCCCAAGCCAGGTGAATCCAGCGTTCAGAGGGCTTCAGGGCGAAGCCCCCTGTGCCTAGGGGACTCTCAGCAGTCTGGCTCCCTTCGCTTGTCAGGCTCCTTGGCTCTCCCGCAGCCCCACTGGCTATCCCTCCTCGCCACTGGTGCCACCCCTCTGCACCTGCCATTGCGCGAACGTCTCACCCCCACACGTTACGTGGCTTGCCGCCTCCCTCCCCAGCACTCTGTACAAGGTACCTCTCCAAGGGGGCACCCAACCAAATGTGGCCACTGCCCCCGATGTTCCCTGCACCTTCTCCCGCGAGGTGGCTCCCAGAACTATCACAGCAGAGGGCCTAGGAGTGCGCATGCCCCTGCAGCGGGCCCTGTCCGTGCTGACCTGCAGGCTCTCAAAGGGAGGCACTGGGTCTGCCTGCATAGCGCACGGCCCCCATGTGCGGTCCGAGTCCATCAGCCATCGTGAGGAACGGGCAAAGGGGCCACAGAGAGACGACCCGTGAGCACCCTGGGCCCATCTGGACAGCAGGGCACGACCGCTCCACACGAGGTGCTCCTGTGTGTCCTGAGGGGCTGGGAAGGGAGGAGGCAGCAGGCCGCGGACACCTCTGCTGGCCTTACTCCGACACAAACTCAAACTACGGGTACCTTCGGGCAGAGGATGAAAAGCTGCGAGGAGATCCAATCTGATTGGCCAGAGAGACTGGCTTTCGGGTGGAGTCCTGAGATGGGGTTGGCCAGGAAGTGGGGGAGGGGGCCCATCTCCACGCACAGAGAGGTGCCCCCTTGGAACCCCGGGGAACTCACAGTGGGGTTTTAAATGACGAACTGCACCAACTGCACAAGGACCAGTCTCTTTTCCTAAAACCCAGTTACTTAAGGAAACACCGCCCGTCCCACACAGCAGCCCTGTCACACAGAGAGGAGCCCAGCCCTGCCTGCCGTCAGAGCCACCTGTGCCCCGCGGGGTGCGAAGTGGCTGAGGGCTCAGCCAGCCCGGCCTCCCCGAGCCTGGTCCACACCGGCCAGAGCCTGGCTGGCCCAGAGACCCAAGGAGCGGATAAATCAAACCCCTAAATTCTCTCCTGCTACCTCGGGGTTTCAGGAAGAATATGACACAGGAACGCAGGGTGCAGGGGTGTTCGGGCCCACACTCAGGAAGAATAGGGTCGTGGACACAGGGAGAGCAAGGCAGGGAGTTTATTACAAGAGAGGGGAGGGAAACAGAGCTCTCAAGAAGGGCGGGTCCCGGGGAACCAGAAGTTAGCGTAATGGCTTTGTCGCTGAACTCCCACGTAGTCGACCGTGGTTCGTGTCCCGGACCCGGTGGCTTAAAAAAAAAACTCACGCCGGGCGCGTGTGCGTGCGTGCCCAAGATCCCGAGAGGAGAATGGAGGAGAAGGGATTGCGGCGTGACCATCCCCCCTGGGGGGTGATTTCTCGCTTTCTATCTCTATGTCTCTCTCTGTCTGTCTGGCGAGCGCACGCATCCTACAGTGAAAATCTCTCCAAAAAAAAAAAAAAAAAAAAAAGGGCGGGTCCCGGAAAATGGACTGCCGAGGAAGAACTGCGGCAAGGGGTTTTTATGTGGATCAGGAAGGGCTTTGTCTGGACTTGGGTTTTAGGGGAGGCTGTGCATACATTGCCCTCCTGGTAGAAGGAGGGGTGCATGCGGGGTGGGTCCAATGACTCTCCTCATTTTGGAGTGGGTTCCAAGGTCAGATTTTTTTTTGTCTAAAAGCTCTGGACCATAAAAACCATTCCCTATCTTTTTTCTAAAATGCGGTGGGACATGAGAAAAGCCTTTGTTTTAGGTCTAGGTCATGCTGCTTGGGTCAGCCACTGAGCCACCGCTGCCTCTGTCTCAGAACAGCCATTCCATGGCTCCCTCTCAGGCCCACACCCTAACTGTTTTCAGGGCCCCTGTCTTAGTAGCAGAACGTCAGCGTTGCCTCCTTGGCAGGTAAGTCTCCCTGAGGCTAGGCAGACGGCGGGGTGACAGGAGCCAGCCCTGCCCACCAGCCCTGCTCTCTCCTCACCCCAAAGCAGGAGCCCACGGCCTGGGTGAAGACAGCAGACGGGAGGCCAGCAGAACCTGGGCTGCCGTCCTGCAGGGCCTGACGCTTCCTTAGCTGTATTTGTTTAATTTTATACATTCAATCCCTACACATCACTTAGCTTGTAAAGTGAGGTGCCCCACATGAACACACATCGGGGTGGCCTGGGAGCAGGGGAGGGGCCCTTGGGCAGGGAGGTGCCAGAGGGAGCTGTGACACCCCACAAGGCAAGAACACCATGGCCCCGGGGCCTCCAGGCATCCATGCTGCCCAGCAGGGTCTTTCCAGAGCCCAGTGCCTGAGGGTGAAGGAGAGCGGGAGGCTGCAGAGGTAGGGAGGGGAGAGGCCAATGGAGGAGCAGAGAGGCCCCCGGCCCTCCCTCCCAGCACAGCCATCCTCATTCCCAGCTCCTGCAACCCTCCACCTCCCCCCACCCCAGGCCGGCCCTCTCCAGGCCACATCTCAGAGACATTACTTCATTTAACAGGCTGTGCGTGGTGCCACCCCTTCCTCGGCCACTCAGAAGATGGAGGGCAATGCCCCGCCTCCAGGCGTAGGTCAAGTGAGCAAGTCCCTGGGGGTGACCCTCACTGTGACCTCCCTCTGATGCCTCTCCCAGGGCCCAGAGCCAGTCTAGAGCCAGAGGGACTGGGTCGGGGCTTCCCCAGGCCCACTCCAGGAGCACCCGGCCGCTCCCTTTCCCTGCCCTGCCTGTCGCGGCGCGTCTGCCTCTCTCCAGCAGGAAGCGCCAGCCCCTGGCCCACACCTCACCCTCCCCACGCACCTCTGCCACAAATCGCAGGCCGGAGTCCAGGCCTCGGCCAGGCCGCTGCCTGCCATTCCCCACTGGCGGGGCCCAAGGGCCAGGTCTGTGCCCCAGCCTCACAGCTCGAGGTCTAGGGCAGTGGACGGGGAGCTTGGAGGTCACATGGGCCTGGTATCCTCCCGGCCATCACTATGGCTGTGTGACCCGGGGCGAGACCAATGTCCCGACCCTTTCCTCCATCCTACCCCGAGCCACTAGACGCTGCCCAATAGCACTCCAGGTCTGGGAGCCCCTGGCGGGGCAGAGAGAGAATGCGGGTGGGCGGGCTGCATTGAGCAGAGCCTAGGGGCCCAGTGACCGCTCGGGACCACGAGAGCCACTGGCCCTTGGTAAAGGTGGGAGGAGGACCCACGGAGGGACAGCCAGCGGGTGACGCACAGGGGTCTCCAGAGACCGGGGCTTGGAGTTTCATTGTCTTCAGTGCTTTGTTCTATTTTTCTAAATAAAGCCCCTACTATCACCAGGAATACTTATGCACCCCTCTCTGCCTTCCCAGAGTGCTCCAGGAAAAGCACCCGCGACCCCCCTGGGCGCAAGGCAGATTGCTAAGAACGGAGCCTTCTGGTTCATTTCCCCTCAGAGAAAAGCCGTTCAGCCTTCCAGTTCTGCCACGCAGGAATTAGAAACCAAAACCTAATGGTAGGAATTTAGTACTCATCTTTTAAAACCATCACAATAGCCAACACTATGGAGCTGCTTCGCCTACTCACTGCGCGGAGGGCCCGAGCGGGACTCGGAACCCTGGCTAGCTGTCCGCACTCAGCCGGCTGCTGTGCCCTCTCCCCACTTTCTCATAATGCAGCTCCTCCCTGCGAGCCTGGGCCTCCCCCTCCTCTCCCATTGGCCCCTTTCGGACACCTTTCGGGGAGGCTGACTTCGGTCTGTTTGATTTCTCATCACACAGGTTCTTTCTCCAACTCAGGTTCCCCCAAAACATACCCTAATAACCGAAACCAGAATTCGCAATGACTCCAGCTGAGACAGCGACGTTCACTCCTTCTTTAAGCAGGAGAGAACCGAATCCGCCCCCGGGCGGCAGCTGTGCTTCAGGTAGTGAAGAGACTGAGAGCTCAGGGACAGCAAGGGACAGCAAGGGACAGCTCCTCCTCCGTGTGGAGGCCGCGCCGGGAAGCCGGCTCCACCCGCCTCCCCTCCTGCGGGTGAATCCTCCCCTCCCACCAGTGTATCCCATCTCCAGCAAAAATACTTTGGGTTTTGTTACTCTGGCATCCGGAGGGAGTCTGGGACAACCTTGCTTTGGCTGTGTCTCGCCTGCATTTTGACTCTGAGCATTTTCATGACCGAGTGTGCTTTTTAGGACCGTCAAGATGGTGCATTGCTGTGTCTCCGAGGATAGGGATGGCACGTTGTGTGTGTCCTCAGGACTGTGTTCAAGCTTATGATGCGAAGGGGTGTAATTTGGGAAGCAATCTTCCCCAAGGTCAGAGAAACAGTCTCCGGAGGAAAGGCTGGAGGCTGTGTGACCCAGATCCGGGCTGGGGGCTAGAGCCCCTGGTCACGAAGCTCGGCCGGTGGCAGACACACCAGAAAACCAAGCCGGCCCTGGTGCTGAGGCGGCTGCTCGGGGTCTCAGGCTTTCCTGCCTGTTTTCCCAGCCTCCCCTCCAAATCAGCCTGGCTC